GTTGAAGCGAGCCACACCTGGTGTGAGAGCTATGCCTTTATTAAGGCAACAGGGCGACGAGTGACCAAATTGTCACCAGAGTCGACGTCGTTGCACAAAACTGAGACTGATTGCTGTTCGTGTGGTGGTACCTCAATGTCTACAGCAGCGATGAGTCGAAATGGCCTGTAGTTTCTTCACTGAGCAAGTGGTCTGTGTCAGTAAGATGGACTTCACAATGTGCACAACTAATAGCCGTGAAAGCAGAGCAAAGAAAGTCCCAGCCTAAAATGAGTTGGTGGAAGCACGGTGATAGCACAGCAAATTCTATATGGTGAAGAATGTCGTTGATTGGCACACGGACAGTACAGAGAGCGGAAAGGCGAATCGTTGTTCCCTGGGCTGTAACCAGTGTTCGTCCATCATTAGGCGCCGTGACTTTTCGAAGACGGCCACACAAATCAGCATGAATAATAGAAAACGTAGCCCCACTGTCCACCAAAACATCAATGTCCACTCCCTTAACTGTGACTGAAATCATACAGTAAGGGCGCGCAGGAGGAATTAGAGCCCTGGGTTAGAATGCAGTTTATCCTCCAAAAACTCCATCGCTTAGTTTTCCGGACGACGTTCAGAAGCGAGGGAGGCAGACTGAAGCGAAGAAGAGGAGCGACGGTAGGGAAACGGTGAACGGCGTCGGGTTGATCGATGACTACTGCGCAGTTCACCCAATGCTGGCGGAGATGGGGACCGACGCGGTGGTGACGAATAACGGCGGCCCTGGTACAAGGCTTTTCCGGTATAGTCCCGTTCACGTATGTCGTACCCTCAACACTCGTCTTGCTGGCGCTTGCGGCAAAAGCGTGAAATGTGACCATAGTAGCTTGCGTTAACTGCACCGGGAGAAAGAGCAGCGAGAGGGCAGATAAGGGCTCAGGCGATGGTGATGGAAAGCTCGTGGAAGGTGCAGCAGCAATTGACGTGTACGTTCGTGGCGGCAATGTCGAGCTGACGGTGCCTGTTGGCGCAGCGGCGCCATGCGAGAATGATGGGAGAGTGCGAGCGGCAATGGGCTACAGGTGGGCCATGTGGGTCATGGACGTGAGCTCCTCTCTGATGACATCCCGCAATGACGTTGAAGAAGACTGAATGGGACACATTGAAGGTAGTGCGAAACTCATTGATTGTAATTCTTCGCGTATAATCACTCTTATTGTGTCTCGTAGGTTTGGATCCGCCGTAATACGGGCTGCGTCACTGTCCAGTTGTAGGCGCATAATCCCCAAATTCATCAAGGCGCTGACAAATTGTCGAGACGTCAGCAATGATAGCCGGATTCTGGATTGCAAGGGCATTCAATGCGACATGTGCAATCTCCTTAAAAAGCTGGCGTACCTTTTCTGACTCTGTCATTGATGTATCAACTCGGCGGCAAAGAGCAAGAACATCCTCGACGTAGGATGTACACGACTCCCTGATGTGCTGATTACGAGCCGCGAGAGCTTTCTTTGCGAGAGCCGAACAACAGTCGGTGTGCCAAAGACATGGCGAAGCTGATTTTTGAAAGCTGGCCAGTCGGAGATGTCGATGAGGTGGTTGAAGAACCACGTCTTCGCGACACCCGTGAGGTAGAATAAGACATGAGCTAGTTTGTAGGTGTTATCCCACCGGTTAGCAGCGCCAGCACGTTCAAAATCGTACAGCCATTCTTCCACATCTTCCCCACGCACACCAGCGAATGAATGGGGCTCACGTGGAGGCTGTTGATGAACGTGAGAAGGCGTGGCACGCGGTGGCGGAGTGGGAACGGCTACAGCATCGACATCATCTTGCTGCGACATATTTCCGGACAACTGGCCCAAGCGGCGACCTGAACATAGCTTCAGGGGGTAGAGCGGTCTAGATGACGAGGGGGATCGAACAGCACCCTCCACCACGTATGAAGTCTTGGTTTTGAACACCTTTATTAGGCCCGAGGAACCAGCAGCCGACAGCTACAATGAACGAACCAAGATGATGATGCTACGCAACAACGATGAGGATGCATGACCAATACATGGTAATGATGATAATGTACAGATTAAGAGGATGGGTTTACTAATGCCCACAGGGGTTAAGCATAATTACAGAAACTCCTGTGAAAGCAGAAAGTCGACAGCCTTGACAAATCGCGAGAAGGGCTAGCAGCATTGCTATCAATTTTCAGTAAGCAAGACTGAATGAATTGTTGGGTTTAACGTCCCAAAACCACGATATGATTATGAGAGACGCCGTAGTGGCGGGCTCCGGAAATTTCGACTACCTGTGGTTCTTTAACATTCACCCAAATCTGAGCACACGGGCCTACAACGTTTCTGCCTCGGCATCACTGCTGGAGACGGAGATGCTAGGCCAGCGCATGCAAAAATTTGGTGAGGTTTTTGGCGTTAGCGGCTCGCAACTACGGACGTCTCCTGTGTGTGAGGGGTGCGTTCGTGGGAGTCAACATTACGGGTACTTTCCTGCGGATCCCTTGTGATTGGTCAAACATCGGTGCCGCCGCACTTGCGATACCTTGTATTTGGTGTTATGTTGCTTGACTGTTGTATTGGAATATTGTATAATGTCATTTAGAGTGTCATTGAGTGATGTATTTCGTTAGCAGTTTCAGACACTATGTACACAATTGTGTACACCGCTCGTTTTTGCTATTTGCAGTAAGGAGAGGCCAAGAAAGAGCAAGATATAGCATACTTGGGATGAATCGAACCTCTTGCATAATAAACTTGTCCTTATTTAACTTCATTTTGCAGTGTACTGATACATATGATCGCTTTTCTGAAGGCACACCACGTTCGACGAGTTACGTGACGTGCCGCTTCCTGCAAGTAATGGAAAAAGAAGGCTTTTTCTGTGCTCAAAATGGATATAACAGAAAACAAATTTTGCACTATATTCCTAGCCTGAGCTTTCATTCTATTTATGCCAAAATTAGGCATGAATGTCTTTGGGGTAATAGATTTTTAAATACAGCTTAATTAGGATGAGTCACTATACCAGACATAAATTCAACAATTATCTCATCATTCTTGCCGCAAAAGCATACTGAGTGCCTTGAAGTACCGTTGCACTGATTTGACACATTTTTTTTTTTTATTTACAGTACTGCTGTCTCGATACACGAGACATAGCAGGAGTGGGTACATTAGGAAAAGGAACGAACATACATTAAGCAATACCAAAGAAACATACAAAGCATTTAAAACATATTACAAAATATGGTTAGGCAGTTCTTTCAAAAACAGTTCAATTGGTTTTTCGCGTAGGGAACCATCTAGGTTGTTCCAAATCTCAACAACGGCTGGAAAAAAGGAATGCTTAAAGCAATTTACAAATGGCTGGAAGGGAACAATGTTGAGTGGGTGAGATCGGCGCGTGGTTCGTCGTGCTGAATCACAAAAAGTAATCGGTGCTTCAATGCAACTGCGGCTGCGTACAATCTTATGTAGCAGAGTGATACGGTCAAGTGTGCGTCGGAAAGCAAGGGGTTCTAACGACAATGAGCATGCGTGAGATGAGGGAGAAAAATCGCGGTCATACCGGCCAAATATAAATCGTATTGCTTTTTTCTGTATGCCCTCGAGCATATTTATGTCAAGTGCAGTATAGGGTGACCATACCGCTGAGGCATACTCTAGCAATGGTCGGACGAGCGATTTATACGCCGTTAATTTGCAGTCCTTGGTAGAGTGCTTGAGTGTTCGTTTTATGTATCCCAGTTTTCGAAGTGCTCTAGCGCAAATTGTTTCAATGTGATGGTGCCACTTTAGGTTTTGAGTGTAGGTAACACCAAGATATTTGAATGTATTAACAGAGTTTAGGTAGTGCCCATTGTAACTATAACTAAACCTTAGTGGCTGTTTTTTATTAGTAAATGTCATTTGAACAGTTTTTTGGTAATTAATGTTCATTTGCCACGTGGCGCTCCAACCACAAAAGGACGAAAATACTTTGTTCAGAACATCTCGGTCATGAGCATTATTTACGCTAGTATATAAAACGCAGTCGTCAGCGTACAATCGCAGCTTCGCTGGTGTGTCCTTAATGACCTGTGTGACATCATTAATATAAATAATGAACAATAGGGGCCCAAGCACCGAGCCCTGTGGAACCCCGGAAGTGACTGCACACGACGATGACTGCGCATGCTCCAACGTAACAAAGTGTGACCTCAAACGTAGCCAATCAGCTATCCAGCCTATTATTTTGTCATCGTTAATAATACTTCAGAGTCTAGTAAGAAGTTTTTTGTGACATACTACATCAAATGCTTTGCTATAATCTATGAATATGGCGTCAACCTGTCCTCGAGTATTAAGAGCCGAAGCGATGTCATGAGTGAATTCAACGAGCTAGCTATGTAGTTGTAGAAAAACCAGAGCGGAAACCATGCTGATTACGGGACAATAAGTTGTTATTAGTGAGGTGCTGAAGTACATGTTTACCGACAGTTCTTCATGGGTGGTGTCAGAAAGGGTTAAGGTGCCGATATTGTCCTTGTAAAAGCAAGTGAATAAAATGAAAATGTGTTGGTTTGCCTGACCGTGTCTATTGTGTCCATGTGTTCTCCTGCAGAGACCCTGCAACGTTCAAAACGAAAAGAAACGGTGCTCAAGGTCATGATGCGAGTTGACAAGAGGACAAAGGCTCTTGCCCCCCTTTTCATTCCCCCCTCTGCACAGATATTAGAGCACTCATTGGCACAAAAGGAGAAAGTGCTCGAAATATGTCGCAAATCGCTTTTAACTCTGCTCGTGCATCACAGATTCCAAAAATATTTATGCCGATCGATTTGCGAGGCAACAAACTCATTTTAAGAATCTGCTCAATGATTACACTCAGCAGCTGATTGAGAATTCGTGTGCAGACTGTTAACCACCTTTCTTGACATGGTATAGCCTTGGTCACTTCGGTCAGGAAAGAACACTACTTTTACGCAAGTCACAGCATGGTGGCGCCTCTCTTGAAGATACAGCACTCACCGGTTTATGTAATCGGCCACTCAAGTAGAGCGTCTCCCAGTCTAGCAGATCCGTGATAAGCCGGTCTGTGCTGATCACCCCGTACTTCATTAGCTGCGATAAGGCACAAAGTTATCAACATAGGCCACAACATCAGCCAAGAAAGCCGTGTACGGATGCCATTGTTATAGACAATCACAACTGCATTAGTCTAGAAAGAAGGGCTTATATAGACATACAGTGTAAATTTTCATGAAAGGGAAAACGGGAGCGTGTGGCTCGCACGCTCGGGCAGCTCCTTTCAGCGCCGTCAAGCGTGAACGAGAGCAACCACAGCCTCTTTTCACGTCATCTAGTGAGGGACAAAACTATCAGTCATTGGTGATAGGACCTCCTTGATAGGACCTCTCCTTGAAGGGAGTGATAGGACCTCTCCTTGAAGGGAACCTCCTTTCCCTTCAAGGAGATTACGCAAGACGCCGGGCCAGCGGAGTGACGTTTGCTGCTTTTAAGCTGCGTTTGCCATGCGGGCACAATCTAAACGGGGAAGCTTTGCCGCTTTGCATTCACGTGCTTGCACTGCAGCGTATTTAGAGCAATTTAAGCGACAACAATGCAGCCAGGTGAACTTTTGTTGGTGATTTCTGGTTTTGAAATCTCGCATGGAATGCTGTGCGAAATTTTTTTTCTGTGGAGAATCCCACTTAGCCGAGAACATGTCACCTGTCTTTAGAAAATGTACTGGCATGCGTGCGCTCGACGCTTTAAAACCAGGCATAGTGATTTCCACTGGGGTCGTGATGAGAGCGCGAAATGGTGCTACATAGCAAATAGAAGAAGAAATGGCTTTGTCTTGGTTGTTTTCGTCTATATATTTTACTGCGAGCAACAAGAATGTTTTGACTCGTTTATTGGCTCATTTCATTTGTTGGCGTTCATTTGTTTTATCTATCTATTTTGAATGCGTAACAGTGTACCAAGCCCTTTGGTTAGAAAGCCTCAGAAAGCTCTTCATTAACCTGCGAAACGCCCACTTGCAGCCGCCACTGGCCGGTTCCACTGTTTTCTGCGAGTGTAGAAAATATTCGCCGATGCGGGACCCATACTTTAACTTAGTCCATCAAATTATGTCACACATCTTTTCTTCATTGATTGATTGATATGTGGGGTTTAATGTCCCAGAACCACCATATAATTATGAGAGGCGCCGTAGTGGAGGGCTACAGAAATTTCGACCACCTGGGGTTCTTTAACGTGCACCGGAATCTGAGCACACGGGCCTACAACATTGGCGCCTCCATCAGAAATGCAGCCGCGGCAGCCAGGATTCCATCCCGCGATCTGTGGGTCAGCAGCCGAGTACCTTAGCCACAAGACCAACGCGGCGGAGCCATCTTTTCTTCGTGTAACGCACGACTACTGATCTCGGGTTCGAATACGCTGTGAGGAGAACAGGAGAATTTTGAACAGTTGGCTTGACAAGAAATCACGTGGGCAAGCGCAGCTTTGTGAAATTTTTATGTGCGTGTAAAGCGAAAGCAGTAAAAATAGCTTGTGTTCCAATTGAAAAACCTCAAAGATTATTGCCTTGAGCATTGCTGGCTGCAGCCAGCAGTATATCGCATCACTTATGAAGAGGCCGCTTAAGACAATGAACAGGATTATCCAAGCCTATAAAAAAGAGGGCCGTGTAAAATACGCTCCACACAGGCGTAGACCACGGGCGACTACCGAAAAGGAAGAGAGGGACATCATAGCTGTAGCGGCTGCAAACCCTCGGACCACAGTGCCGGAAATCATACAAAACCTGGTACTTAATGTTAGTCCAACAACTGTAAATCTGCGCCTCGCCGAAGCTGGTAGCTGCTTGAAAAAAAAACGCTGCTTCGGCAAGTAAACCAAAGCAAACATCTTCAGTTTGCCCAGGACCTCGAGGGCTGGACAGCCATCAAGTGGGAGCAGATGGTATTCTTGGACGAGAGTTCCTTCACGACCCGCTGTGACCAAAGGCAGAAAGTTTGGCGCACCGAAAAATTGTCAGTAGGTAACGTTTCTCGTTTAGCTTGATCATACCACTGTAACAAATATAAACAGAACCCCACTTAAGGATGACCCTGATTTTATGCATTGCATATGTCATCTCGTTTTATATAGCACATTAGCGGCAGAGAACTGATGAACCACAGTTTTATGATTGAACCACTATTCAACGATATTTTCTTTTATGTCACACTCTTCTGAAGGCGTGTTGTCAGAGGGGAGTATACAGCGAAATATCAAAAAAAAGGGGGGGGAGTAGTAAAACTTGCTCAGAGTTCATGGGCGAATTTAAAAGAAATATTTTACATACCTAAGGCAGATTACGAGGCATGCCGTGGTAATTGCAACTCCCTGATACGCCTTAACACCCACCTAAATTTGCATAAAAGCGCATCTGGGGTTTCCAGCAATGAAAAATGCAACTGCTGCGGCAAAAGTTACCTAACAAATAGTAGACTGAAATTGTAGTGAAGACGTCTGATCAAAGAATAATTTCCTACAGTTACAGGAAGGAGTATACTCAACGAGTGGCTGCAAATGCCCATTCAGGAGTCTTTGTCTGGGGCCTAATAACCAAGGAAGGCCTGGGCCCACTGGTACGAATCGAGGGCAGATTCACGTCCTCCTTGTACTGCTCCATCTTGGACGACGTGATGGTGCCATACCTTCTGGACGGGCAATTTCCTGAAGGTGACTACGTCTTCCAGCACAACAATTCACCAGTTCACTCATTGAGAAATGTGACAAGTTTTTTGCAGGAGCATGGCATCAATGTTCTGGAGTGGCCTCCGCATTCTCTAGATTTTAATGCAATTGAAAATGTCTGGCGACTTCTGAAAAGCGCGCTAGCGGGTCGCTCCCTACACAGACTCTCGGCGGACAACCTCTGGCTCGTCATTAAGGAGGAATGGGAGACGAGAAGAAACACGTCTCTGACCACCGCTCTTTATCAATCCCTACCAGCTAGAATGGCAGCCGTCGTAGCGCCAAGTGGTGACAGCACTAAATATTGAAAATTGTCATAATGTGTTATTACTTCTTTATGTATGTCATAATCAAAATGACTTTATTAAGTTTCAATAAACTCATTGAATTTTTCACACTTCATGCTCACATCATTAAACTTACTTATACATACCGATCAAAACATTTACAACCAAGACAAAACTATTTATCCTTCTGTTTGCTATGAAGCACGATTTCGCGCTCTCATCACGATTTTAGTAGAAATCACTATGCCTGGTTTTAGAGCGTCGAGCGCAGGCATGCCAGTACATTTTCTAAAGACAGGTGACACATTCTCGGCTAACTGGGATTCTCCACAAAAAGGCATTTTGCGCAGCATTTTATGCGAGATTTCAAAACCGGAAACCACCAACAAAAGTTCACCTGGCTGCACCGCTGTCACTTAAATTGCTCTAAATACACTGCAGTGTAAGTGTGTGAAAGCAAAGTGGCAAAGCTTCCCCGTTTAGATTGTGCCCGCATAGCACCCGCAGCTTAGTAGCAGCAGACGACACTCCGCTGGCCCGGCATCTTGTGTAATCGCCTTGAAGAGAAAGGGAGTTGCAATCTTGCCGCCTCTTTCCTATCACCAATGACTGATTGTTCTGTTCGCCAATAGATGACGCGAAAAGAGGCTATGGTTGCTCTCGTTCACGCTTGACGGCGCTGAAAGCAGCCGCTGGAGCGCGCAGGCCACGCGATGCCTTGTTCCCTTTCATAAAAATTGACAATGTACATGTTGCATACTCAAATAGTGGAATATGCCAGAGGAAAGCATGGAACAAACCACTCACATTCTTTTAAAATCTCGAAAATGAAAAAACAGTGAAACATAAAACATAGCAGTTTGCTTTCTTTATTTCTCTCTGGCTATCTCATGACATAATGATGACGGAAAGATGCAAGAAATAAAACAGTGAATGCACAGGACAAAGCATGAACACGCAGGACATACTACTGTGTCCTGTGTGTTCGCTATTCCGTTTCTTTGCTCTGTTTGACCACCGTACTTACGAACCAACTAGCTTGCCTGAGAACTGTTGTTCATGGCATCAATCTTCAATGCAGCAGCCTGCTATAACAGCCTCAGTCCAAGCAAAAAAAAAAAAAAATGAGTTAGCATTGCTTCCGATTATAGAGCTAAACGGAAAAAGAATGCCTTATAACCAGAACAAATCAACAAATGTGGCTTTCCTTTGAAGGGAGCCTCATGAAACTTCCGACAAGAACTTTCCACTGCCAAAGATACGCTCACGGCTTCTCCGCTTACATGCTCAGTTGTCATTTTTTCAGTCATTCGACTTTTCTTGTAACAGTGCAGACCAATACTGTGGGCATATTGAGGGGGTCTTCACCCATTCTTTGGGCAAGATATTGACACTGCCTACACACCTAGTTTTCGTATTAATATATGCAGGATGTCTCAATCATCACACAGCACAATTTAAAAAAAATAGGAACGACATTATGCGAACCAAACCAACTGTATATTGTCCCCAGTATAATGTAGTAACCACAACTAACTTTGCATTAGTGACAATTAGTTAATTAGTCATGATTATATATGCAACAAAACAAATACTTGCATATTTATCTAAATGTCAACAAGGGAGATGTTCACATGTTGAAACGACATCTGTCTGTACTATCTTTAACAACATACTGATTGCATGCTCATTTTTTCATGCTGATAAAGAAAGCCCGCAAAATATAAAAAATAACAGGTGACTGCGCTCCCACCTACAAAAGAAAACAAAAAAATATCTGCCACTTCCCCTCTGAAGAATCTTAGGCAGTCAGGCTGTAATCAGAACAGTGTTCCAGCTGCTTTATCAAGGAAAACAGTTGGTGATTAGATACGGAAAGCAATAGTGATGCACAATCAAGCAAAAGAAATCCCCGCAAGATTCAGGCCCATGTTGTTGGCACTTGACCTGCACCCTTTCAATGTGCGGAACGCCGTCTCTGGCAACGGAAAAGAGGCAAAGCAGTTGCTTGCAGTAAGCTTATCCGAGGGCACTGGTTTCTTTCGCGGGTGGGAGCGCAGTCATAAGTTATTTCGCGGGATTTCTTTATTGAGAAGAAAAAACGAGCGCGCAGTTATAATGTAGTTGAAAATAGCACAAACAGATGTCATTTCGACATGTGCATATCAGCCTCATTGACATTTTTATAAATAGGCAAGTATTTTTAGAAGTAATTATGACTAATTCACTATTTTCAATAATGAAAAATTAGACGGTCAGTTTCACAAAGAAGCAACAGCGGTGAAAAAAATTAGTAGTGGCTACTACACTATACCGGGAACAATATGCACTAGGTTTAATTCGCGTAATGGCGGTCATATTGTTTTAAATCGTACTGCGTGATAATTGGGACACCCTGTATAAGGGCCAGGTTATATAAAAGCGTCGTGTGGGCCCTTCATACAATTATAAGCAGGGTTCTACTGTACCTCTGCATTGAGAGCGCTTCAAGAATTGTCACATTTTATAAGGCTGTGCCACTTCAGACTGTCAGGTGAGGATGTCATTCCCTAGTACCATATCCTGTAACACTACAATGAAAATTGAAGAAGCTTCAAGCCACAAGGTGTCATTGAATGTGCAAGTAAGCTTTTTTAAGTCAAATGCAACTTTCTTCAAAGATTCACAGGTACTTTGACCAGCATGTTAAGCTTTACACACAAAACTCCCAGGCTCAGAGACACCAGAGTTGTGTAGCTATAAACGGCATACATTCGGTGAAAAGTGCATGCACTTCAGCAGGAGCAGAGCAGTGACCAGTAATGTGGAAATGTTAAATTAATGAAGAACGTCACCTTGTGAGCAGTTTTACATACGCATAAGCAGAGTAGAGTAGTGCAAATGCAAAGTGGCTTTAAATTTTAGAAATAGGAGACTGCCAGCAGTTACATATGTGAGGCGAATAATAAGGTTAAGATGCCACAGTCTCGACAGGGCTTGTTCTTCAATCCCAATTATTAGGATTAGACAGAGTCTAATGGAAAGCCTCAAGTCCCAACTTATTCCTGTTAAGGCAAACGTTTTCACCTAAAGACCTGGTAAAAGCGAGAGCCACCTGAGGCACAAGCATATTCAACAATATCGCTGCTTGGTATAAACGACAACTCACCATTGCTCTACTATTATACCTGTCCATATAAGTGACATTTCAGCTAATATTCTTTGTACTGAAAAACTTTTTAATAAACAATGGAGTGATGGGCACATGAAGCTAATTATAGCAGAACTTTCCCAGCATCACTGGTCCGAAATTGCAATGAACGTTGGTATAACAGGCCCCAATTCTTTAAAAAGCAATGTTGATAACTGTTTCAACACAGCTCACAGCAGTGCAGCTTTACTTTGCTGGGCTCAACACAATTCCATAACCAATGTCACATAAGCATGTTTAAACAAATAGCTTGCACTGACATTATTGTGGCCACCGTCATGGAATTACTAGAATGCTGAAAAGCCGTATCAGCAAGACACGTCACAGCAAAAGATGGCCTTGCTTGAAGATGACTGATAACAGTGGTAATCTGCTCAAGAAGTACAACCATCAAGCTCAAGGTGATGAATTCATGATGACACTGCGTCCAGACGTCACTGTGGCAGCCATCACCAAGTACTAGCACGGCGAACAGATGCATCCGTAGCATTCCGTGAAATTCGCCTACAGGCATAGTGTGTGTAACTCGCTCATACAGCATGATGAAAATACAAACACTTCGTATGTGCAGTTCAGTAAAGATGAAAAATAGGAAAAAAAAAGAAAAGTAAGGTGTGCATGCATGTTTCACTACAATCGTCAGTCCAGCAGCTGCACTTTAACCTCGTGCATTCACTAGGCTTGTGGTATCCGCAGAGCTGCCTTTAAAACCACAGTTTCAAGTTTGTTCATTGGAATGATCTGTCTCTACAAGCAATAACACAAGAGCAACAGACATATGGACGAAGTCGCTAAACAGGCTAGTGCAATCATTAGAAGTGTTCATTGTGGATGCATTTGCTGGGGCAGTGTTAATGCTGCTTCTACGTACTCCCACGCCAACGCCTAGGAGGCGTTGGCATCCACAACGATCATTGCATGAATTTGTCTAGTGACTTGGTCCACGTGCATGTTGCTCTTTTGTCGAATGCGCAAATTCACAGCAACGGTTTCAAATGCAGCCCTGCGAGAAGTGGTACAAGCTACTCACCCCGTCATCGTACGGCACAAACGTGTTGTAGTAAACGTAGGCGCCGAAGTCCTTCTGCACCTTGTTGACGAGATACGGCCCGCCGTACCTCAAGAAGGAGTAGTGGCGCCAGTTTTCTTTCAAGTTTTCCCTGTGCCAGGACAGCGGATCGTCCACGGCGAGAATCACGTCCAGCATGTTGTTCTGCAAGGCCACAAAGGCGTCACACCCAACCCGTTCGATGTCCTCTATAAATACCGCTACTGCGCACTTGACACAAGATTCCGCCTTAACACAAATACAAATGGAAGGCGCACGATCGAATACATACGCATGGTGTACAAATTAGAGCTGCACACCACACTCAACGGGAATGTTCAGACAGGCGTCGCGAAGGGTCATCAGAGTTCAATGAACGAATCACATCATCGTTAGTGTGTCGTGTTTTGTTTATTTCACAACAACTAGAGAGCGCGGCGCAGGCAGATACTGACGAAACGCCTTCCCGGAAGTTATAGACGCTTCACCAAAGCGTCATCAACGGGCAAGTGAGCTGCAAGGCTCGAGATAACAGATCGAACCCAACAGCAAAAGTTCGTCTGCTAAGCCACACCCGTTAAGCGATACATTCAACAGCACGTTTGCCGAAACGTGCCATTAGACGCAACGCACACAGCTGTTTCCGGCTACATACGGAAGCGTGACAGCCTCCGGGATAAGGAAACAGTGCCCGAGCTGTTGTTTGAGAGCCGGAAAAAAGGTCGCGATGCGCTGCGAACATGCGATAGGAAGGCATGTGTGCAGTGCGATTGCTTCGAAAACTCTTTAAATTGATTAGTGCAAGAGGTGAACTTACCTTCGTTTGCACGACGCCCTTCTGGGGAAACGCGGCCGAGCCATAGCAGAAGGCAAACGAGAATTTCCCTGGGAATATACTCAACATTCTCGACCATGACGCTGGGTCGACAACTTTTGCGGACGCCGCCATGTTGAGGCGCGAATCGCGGCCCTCTAGCGGCGCCAGTTCGCAGCCTGTGCAAGGTGAAATCACGAGTGGCTCGGAGGAGCTTTCGATTTCTCGCTTGGGACGGCCTCTCTTCCTCACCATGGGTGCGGCGATGAAGAAGACAATAGCGGACGCGAGTCTATCGAGAATTGCGGCGAAATGTATCAACTTCGAACGGGGAGCCAGAGGTCACGCTGTCGCGTCGCATTGTGACGAATGTTACCGTGATTGAGCGTAATGTCCGCCGAGGTGGGGCTGGCCGCAGATCAACGATGCTGGTTGACGCATATCCGCCAGACTAAACGCTTATCGGTGCGCGACACTTTCGAGCGGCTGACGCCTTGCAGTATGTCCAAGTATGTCTGTCTGATAAGTGACAGCCCTCCTCGTTCATACACGTGCGTGCACTAGTTCTCGCCTAAACGAGGAATGAGTGTGGCGAGGCGGCACGTGCAAGATCGTGGGAAATCGAACACACACACACACACACATGTGGTTTCTTTCATACATAGGTGAAAGTCGATTAGCTGAACAGGGTGAGGTTGTATTTACATTTGTTACGTACAGTACGCTTAATGCTGTATCTGGTTCTGAAAAAGAACTTTGTGAATACTAAACAAACTTGTAACTTTTTGTTCTTCTTGGGCATCTGGCTGACGTGCACTACTGCATTCTGGCGAGAAAAATTGTGAACTTGGCGAAGTCTGAACTTGATATACAAAATATTAACGTCTAGTACAAACTGAAAAATATTGAAAATCGGCTTTAAACTGTATGCCGTGCAACTGAGCGTGAAACGAAGACCCTCACGACATCAACATCAGCTTCGCTTCATTGTATTGTTTATGTGTTGCCATGAAAACTAAAATCTGGGCATATACGAATAATTTCCCCAGTTGATCTCATCACTTGTGCTAACTTAGTTTATATCCGTATAATTAAAAAAAACGTTATTGTTCAATGCCGAACCTCAAGATGGCTCGGTCTACTGGTGTAGTTCTTAAGTGCATCTTGTGTCTGAAAACATCGCCCTGAATGAGTACTCGATGAAATAAACACCAAATAGTTCATTGACTATCAACTAGTTGTTTATTGGCAAGAACAATAATATATACTCATGAAGAAAAAGAGGGAAGTAAAGAAGATATCCACTGACGTCACGCACGAACAACTAAAGATTTGAGTTTATTAGGCACCATGATGCTGTATGCGTCGCGAGATTGCGGGAGATCTCTCCAATGTGAGAATGAGTAATCACGTGCACAACGTGCGGATCAACAGCAGTAGCACGATGGTCTCACTTGAAAGACTGGTGGATGCGAAAACCGTGATGGACTTTAGTGGGATTATATCAACTAAGAATGGAATGGATTGCCAGTTTTATATGGACGAGCTAGAGGCGGCACTGGCACTGTGCAGACGTTCAGCACCCGAACCTAACGGCATTGCCTATCGTGCCATTTGTAATCTGGGAGACGAAGCTCGGAAGGCACACTTACGCCTATACAACGACTCCTGGCAGACTGGTACGGTTCCCCAAGCATGGAAGTCAAGTCGCTTCATTCCAATTCTATAGCCTGGTAAATTACCTTTGGATATTGCCTCATACCGTCCTATCGCGCTTGCCAGTTTTGTGGGAAAAACAATGGAGCGAATGATTCGAACCCGAATGCAGTCGTATTTAGTGCACTACGAAATCTATCCAGCTTTAATGACCGGATTCAGGCGCGGCCATTTGTCAATCGACAACGTCGTTGATCTGCTGACATATGTTGAACACCAGAAAGCCTGTAAGAGACTGCGCCGCCCTGTTTCTAGACGTTAAGGGGGCTTACGACAGTGTCACCCATGAAGCCATCGTTAGTGTTTTGGAAATAGTAGGTCTTCGTAGCAAGATATATATGTGGGTCTACAGCTACTTACGGCTGATATCCTTCTACGAGATGACAGCGAATGGCTCAACACCTGATTATTACAGCATTCGAGGAGTTCCTCGGGGAGGAGTGCTAAGCCCTACACTTTTCAATCTCTCATTGGACTATTAGCGCCCCTACCTAGCACTGTAGAACTTTCTGTCTACGCTGATATTGATATGTGGGCTTTAACGTCCCAAAACCACCATATGATTATGATAGACGCCGTAGTGGAGGACTCCGGAAATTTTGACCACCTGGGTTTCTTTAACGTGCACGCAAGTCTGAGCACACGGGCCTACAACATTTCCGCCTCCATCGAAAATGCAGCCGCCGCAGCCGGTATTCAAGCCCGCGACCTGCGGGTCAGCAGCCGGGTACCTTAGCCACTAGACCACCATGGCGGGGCCTGTCTACGCTGATGACATCTGCATTTGGACATCAGGTGTGACAAGGCCTCAGCTTCGCGTCCGCCTTCAGAAGGCTGCTACAACGACGTCATGCTACCTTCGTAAACAAGGTCTGGAGGTGTCCTGCGAAAAATGTGCAATGGTAGCGTTCACGCAGAAACGAATGTCGGCTTACTACATATCGAATAATTAAGAACACCTATCGTTCAGCAGAAGCTACAGGTTCTTGGGAGCCATAATATATAGAAACCTGTCGAGGACTCCACACGTGAACTATGTGAAGAAGCGGCTGATCGCAACATGTCACATGTTCAAATTCCTTGCAGGAAGGAATTGGGGAGTGTCCATACCATCCATGCTACAACTGTACAGAGGTTTATCGGATTCTTACGGTACAGCTTACCTGCAATATCTAACACCGGCAAGACCAACCTGCGCGCAATTCAGAGCATTCAAGCCCAAGCACTTAAGATATGCCTTGGATTACCCCGCGGTGCTTCAACGGCTGAAACTATTGTCATCGCTCAAGGTCACTCAATAAAGACGCATATTATTATGGAGACAATGCGCATGCACCTCAGGCATTATGCCAGGACCCCTTCCCATCACCTGGCGAACCTCGCTGCTGAAAGGTCCCGCACGACATACGGTGCCACTATCTGCAAGTATCGTTCATCATTTTCTGAGGCGTACGCACCTGCATCAAAGCAACTGCTTCCTTCTTGGAACTTGAGCCGGCCACGAGTTCACTTAATGATTCCAGGAATGCGGCGAAAATCGGACTTACCAACACATGCCCTGAAACAACTGAGTCTATTCCTACTGGAGCAAAACTACAGTAACCACGTGCACATTTACACGGATGGCTCGACTATATACGCCGTCTAGTTTAGGTGGAGCAGTGGTTATACCATCACAAGGGGTAACTCGGTGTTTTAAGACTTCGCATGCGACAACGTCCACGACGACAGAACTCGAGGCTCTGCGCGGTGCACTGGAACTCATAAATTCTGAAGAAAAACGAAGTAAATGGGCCGTGTTTTCCGACTCATAACCAGCGTTACAGTGCCTGATATCAGTTCTCCGACGCGGATGCCACGACCAGTTGACCTACCGAACCGTGAAACTTCACCACCTTTTAATACAAAAAGGCCACGACATTGTCTTTCAATGGTTACCTGGGCATTGTGGTGTAAGCGGAAATGATTCTGCAGATCATGCTGCTCGCATGTCACATGAAGAAACAAACAGCGTTCCAATTCCGTTTTCAAGAGCGCACACGGCCAGACAGATTCGTCAACTGCCCCACAGTCTCACACTGACTGAGGGGAACACACCAAGCATACGACGTACAAGACTGCACGAGCTTGACCCTACCCTACAACTCCGGCCTCCACCCAGCCTACATCGACGTGAAGCTTCGCTTCTCTATCGCCTTTGGCTGGGAGTTGCTTTCACGAAAGCTTATACCACGTTTCTTGGAATAACGGACAGTGTGGCATGCGATGTCTGCGGCACCGATGAAAATATCGAACACCTGCTGTGCCACTGTACTCGATTAGCCTCAGACAGACAAGTACTTGCCAACGCAATGCGGCGACTGGATGATTGGCCTCTTTTTGTGCGGGTGCTATGACAGCAACATCCCCATCCCTCGACAGCCCACAAGACAGTGAAAGCCCTGCTGTGTTTCCTGAGAAAGACGGGTTTGTATGAACGCCTCTGACATGCGGTGCAGTTCTACACGCTGCAGTGAACTTACTGTCAGTCTCCGTTTTTTTTTCTTTTCCCTCCCTTTCCTATTCATCATTTTTCTTGTCCCCTTCCCCAATCTACCCGTGTAGGATAGCCAACCGGATGTCTTTCTGGTTAACCTCTCTGCCTTCTCCCTTTTGTTGCTTCCTTCCTCAACTCAGAACGTGAGTTGAGATAATCCCACTAGCGTAAAAGATTGTCTACTGCATTATCTTAAATGAACCCTGTTTTTCTCTTAAACGTGGATTTATATTTTTAGTTCTTTTTTGGATGGATGCTGTGAGCATTCCCCGGCGGCGATGTGTGTGCAGCATGTGCGCCACAGGACCCCCGAAGCTACTTTTGGCGCATCTCGCGGCGAAAAAGTCAACACACTGGTCGATGAACACGTCACCTTTTTTTGCGCACGCTGTTAATTGTTTCTCTATAGACGTCAAAATGCATGCAGCGTACTTTCTGCTACGGTCTTTTATAAGTTGAAACGTGCAGATAAGCCTTTGTCTGTAATGAGCAGGACAGTTCGTGGATTCTCATGACTGGCTGGTAATATGAAAGTTGTTCGTTGAAGGTCCTTATGTTAGCAGAGCGCCTAGCGTCTTTTGCCAATGAGTTGACAAAGTACAAAAATCACTCTTATAGTCTTCGCTATTAGCTCTGGCAACCCGTTACTGGCGTGACATCAATCATGAAGGTGGCGAGAGCCTGGCCTATAGCTCTTGGGGCCAACGGGGTGTCAAAGGGGCCTCATGGGGCGACCAGCGAAAACTTATTTTACTCGGCTTATATGTCACAAAAGAGCGAAAGTGTCAAATCGAAGGTGCATGACCACAGTTGCACTCCGCCCTATAAAAATTTTAGCGTCGAAAGTAATGACCAGTTTGCGAAGAAAGATGGCGGCACTGCTATAACTTTACAGTATTTGCTGGGGGACGCCT